GGGAAATTCTAAAATTTTAGAACATAGTCCATGATGAGTGGTACTTTGATACTATTGAAGGGATCTTGATTTCAAGAAATGGGGATACCCTACATTGAAATTGCTTCCCTCACCCCAGGCACTGTAACCCCTTACAGGTTTAGTGCTTCCCATGACTGTAATATCCTTCACTGCTCAGTTCCTGTCAAATGCTTATTTTTTATTTATCTTATGTTAGGACACTCACCATGGTTTTGGATGAAGTTGTAGAAAACCTGCCAGAAATCAGCTTAAAGAAGAGGAAGATCTTGTTACCTATTCATTGATACATAAAATACAATATGAATAGAAGTCATAAGGAGCAATTAACCACTGGGGTAAGTTTTCTCAAGACCTGAGTGCATTATTTTCTGTAAAAACATATTTGAGTTTGCAAGGGGGAATTCAAGGTTTTTGTCTGCTTAGTTAACTGACTGACGGAAAATGGCTGTCATATCAACTTTTAAACCTCTATCTGGAGTCCACTACCATTTTTATCATTGTCCAAATTGTTTTGCTTCTTTATCATTAGTGCTTCATTTTTTATTATAATTCTTTATCATTCATATTCAAAAAATATTAATTGATGGTGGTGTAAGAGACAGTTATTAATTGTAGGTCACTTTAAGTAAGGAGAGTAGTAGTTACCACCCAGAACCTATTAATAATGGTAAGTTTTCTCCACCCATCAGTAGGAATAAATTTCAGAAGTTTAATTCACATTTTCCAGCCTAATAACCACCAGAGTTTTAATAAGCCTAATTCTCCAATACATACATGCCCAGGAAAGTTTTAAGTCAGCCGTCATAAATCCAGGACTACAGGGAACAGGTAGGAAGAGCCCAGTTCCCCAGGGTCAAGGGCCCCAGCCTATGCCTAGTGGACTGGGGCTTTTAAACCTTATTACTGTACATATCACAATAAACAGGGCCACCTACAGCCATATTGCAGAAAGATGCTTAGGGACCAGGCTACAGCAGATGCATAACAATTTTGTTAAAACCAAGAATTGCACTGGTTATTTAAGTGTATGTAGTTGTCTGAGGGATAATGGTTCTCATGAAAGATGCTGTTTTTTGGCATCAGTAGATGCAGTTCTGAGCCCATTGCAGGAACAGACACCTGTTCTTCTATGTTAACCTTACCTTGGAGGAATTTTATCCAAAGCTAGACAGTTTATTTTACAAGGAATTCTGGACATGGCCTCATAAATCTAGTGAAAGTCCCTGCTCATGCCTTCCTTTTCTGGGTTAGCAGCAGACGTTTATGTTAAGGGGCACAATGGAGCGTCTGTCCTTCGGTCATTGAAGAGTTCCACAAGGACTCTCATGACAGCTCCTTGGTTGAATAACAAAAAAGGCACAATACCGTGACTGGAATGATACACAAATAACCGGCACATAAAAGAGAGAAGCTTACGACGACGTTTCGGTCCGACTTGGACCATTGACAAAGTCTCATTCTGTCAATGGTCCAAGTCGGACCGAAACGTCGTCGTAAGCTTCTCTCTTTTATGTGCGGGTTATTTGTGTATCCTTGGTTGAACAAAGTCAATGAGAAGGAAGCCCACCAGAGTTGTGATGGTGTGTGGGGCCCTTGTGAAGCAACAAATCTGGTCGAAGGCGGTTCCATCTGTGTCTTGCGACAAATTATTTGTTTTTTGCATCATCTGTAAGTATTGTCCATATAATTGCTGCTGTCATTAGCTCATTCATTTTTATCTAGTTTACCATGCTATAAGCAAGTGAGCTAGGCAAAAGGCAACTCTTGTACTCTTTATATATAGGGAGAGGGGTAACATGGTATTTGAACCTGAGATTTGAGCTGTATTGTCTCTACAAACCTTCCTACAGTATTGTGTTGCAAATCTGCAAAGTGATGTGGTTGTGATTTGAGGTGCAATAAGTGTATTTAATGGTGGTGGGTTATGCCACCCACATTATAAAGAACCTAAACAGGCTTCTTCAGAGGTTCTGTACCTGGATTTCCCAGGGGTAGTACCAGTGGTTCTTGTTCTTTTTCAAAGACCATTTTGGTCATAACTGGTATGAAGGGAGTTTAGACTTCCTGGTAACATATTTGTGGCCAACCGCTTCTTGTGTGTGCAGTCTCTTTATCTTTTTTTTTTCTTCTCAGGAACATTGTAGGGGCAGAGATCATCATAGATCATTGATGGACCTATGAATTGGAAAACAAATCCTTCCTGAAAACCAGCAATGATGAAAAGACAAGAAAATAACCAAAGCAATCTTCACTGAATCACATGAAGGCCGCTGCCCCAACAAAAGTCAACTAGAGGAAAGAACTGTATGGTATGCATGTTTTTGTGTAGTCAAATCTCCCTTAAGCCATAGAAATGTGCCCCATTAAAGCATCAAACTTCAGGAATAATGGACCTTACTGCTTAACAATTTTGTTAAAATCAAGGATTACACTGGATATTAAAGTCTATGTAGTTGTCTGGGGATGATGGTTCTCTTGGAACATGCTGTGTTTTGGTATCATTGCATTAAATTGTAGATGCAGTTCTGAGCCCACTGCAAGAACACAAACTTCTCCTTACCATGGAGGATTTTATCTAAGGCTAGACAGCTTATTTTACAAGGAATTCTGGCCAGGGCCTTGTAAATCATATGGAAAGTCCATAATAATACCTTCCTTTTCCAGGGTCACAGCAGACATTTCTGTTTCTGTACCTTTTTGCTTGTAAAGTAGGTCTCTTTAAAGTTACCAAGTATTGTTGATTACTATCTTTGTAATATTTATCTATGAGGCTCTTGTAGGATTTTAGAGCTTAACCTGGTTGTTATAACTTACCTGGTTGTTATAACTTACCTGGTTGTTATAACTTAAGTTAGTTTGTAATATGTGAGATGAACCTGCGTCCTATTTTGAATATCTCTTGGAGAGATTTAGGACTTTTAAAGTAAATGTAAATAACTAGAAGTCATCTGTTAGCCATTTTAGTATAACTTTGTTGGGTCATGATGTAGGCAGTGGCAAGTAAATTTGCCAAAGTTTTTGTTTTGAGTATTATTCATTTGCTCTTGATTAGAAGTTGCGGTAAAGATTGTAGATTTGAAGAGGCTTTTAAGTGTATTAAATATCACTTATTTGGTGCAGGCAATAATTTGTTTCTTAGATTTATGAAATGTATTTGTCTCTGTCTTACAGGTTGATGAATGTGATTTTGGAGTCTGGGGAGCCTTAGCCAAGAAGATGTAGCCAGAAGCAGTAAGTGGAAACTAGAGGCAGTGAGTGCAAACCTGAGGCAGCAAGTGGAAACTATAATAGGAAACCTGAGGAAAGCTACCTGGTATGTATTATTGTTTAATTGTTAAAACGAAGCAGATTGATGTCCTAGAAATATTTATGAAAGGTTACCTAGCTGTTATAATTGTAGTTGTTCATACATTGGATGAATACATGTCCTTCGTTGAATATCTATTGGATAGGTTTAGGACATTTAAAGTAAATGTGAATGACTTCAAGTCATGTGTTGGCTATTTGAGTACCAGTTTATTGGGTCTTGAAGATGGTGGGAAAGTGCCATGTAAATTTGCCAAAGTGTGTGCAATTAAAAAATAACAAACACTCTGCCTGTGTGTGTCCCTCCCTCCCTCCCCTCTCTGTCTGTGTGTGTGTCCCTCCCTCCCTTCCCTCTCTGCCTGTGGGTGTCCCACCCCCCTCTCTGCTTGTGTATGTCCCTCCCCTCTCTCTGCCTGTGTGTATGTCCCTCCCCCCTCTGCCTGTATGTGTCCCTTCCCATGCTCTGCCTGTGGGTGTCCCTTCCTGCTCTCTGCCTGTGGGTGTCCCTCCCCCTCATCTGCCTGTGGGTGTCCCTCCCCTCTCTGCCTGTGTGTGTGTCCCTCCCTCCCCCCTCTGCCATTGTGTGTGTATCCCTCTCTCTTTCCCTGTGTGTGTGTCTCTCTGCTCCCCTCTGCCTGTGTGTGTGTCCCTCCCTCCCTCTTGCCTGTGTGTGTGTGTGTCCATGCCTTCCCTCTCTCTGCCTGTGTATGCAACAAGAGAAGGCTGGAGACAGTAGAGATGTCATGTCTGAGGGCAGTGTATGGTGTGAATATAATGCTGAAGATCTGTAGTTTGGAAATTAGGAGGAGGTGCAGGATTTCCAAAACTATTATCCAGAGGGCTGAGGAGGGGTTGTTGAGGTTGTTTGGACATGTAGAGAGGACGAATAAAATAGAAATGAGCAGGAAGGGTAAAGAGAAAGGAGAGTCTTTCAATGTTTATTATGCTAATTGCCGTAGTGCTAGGAATAAGATGGACGAGTTGAGATTAGTTGCTAGTGCAGGTAACATTGATGTATTTGCCTTAACTGAGACGTGGTTTAATTCAAAAAGTCGGGACATGCCTGCGGAATGTCATATTCAGGGTTTTAAATTGTTCCAAGAAGATAGAAGTATTGGGAAGGGGGGTGGGGTGGCATTGTATGTCCGAGATCGCTTGAACTGTTGCATAAAAACGGGTATTAAGTCTGAAGTAACACATACAGAGTCTGTTTGGATAGAATTTTCAGAGGGGCATGAAAAACTGATTTTAGGAGTGATATACCGTCCCCAAACTTAGATAGGGACCAAAGGAAACTACTATGGGAGGAAATTGTTAAGGCCACAAGGCACGATAATGTAGTAATTCTAGGAGACTTTAACTTTAGTCATGTTGATTGGAATTTCTTGACTGGGAATTTAGAATCATACGAGTTCTTAGAAGTATTTCAGGATTGTTTTTTGAAGCAGTTTGTGACAGAACCTACAAGGGGAAATAACCTGCTTGACTTAGTTATGGCAAACAATGAATCCCTTGTTAATAATTTAGAAATTTCAGAGGAACTGGGTGCTAGCGACCACAAATCAATTACATTTAGCATTGAATGGAAGTACGATAGTAGCGATAACTCAGTAACAGTCCCAGATTTTCGCTTAGCAGATTACGATGGGCTTAGAGAACACTTACCATCTGTTGACTGGGGTAACGAAGAGAGCTATCAATATGACAGTTTTCTGAACACTATACATGCTGCTCAAAGAGTGTTTATCCCATATAAAGAAATTAGATCAAATAGAAATGACCCAAAATGGATGAATAATAGCTCAAATATCTACTAGGGCATAAGAAAGGAATTTATAGGCGTATCAAAAGAGGTGAGGGTCATCTTATGAATCAGTATATTGACATTAAGAGGGACATTAAAAAGGGGATAAGAAAAGCTAAAAGGGACTATGAAATAAAGTTGCTAGGGATTCTAAAACTAACCCAAAAAGTTTTTTCCAGGTCTATAGAACAAAAGTTAGAGATAAGATAGGTCCCCTTAAAAATAAACTATGGGCACCTTACTGACAAAGAGAATGAAATGTGCTTGATTTTAAATAATTATTTTCTCTCAGTTTTTACACAGGAAGACACTAACAATATTCCAGTAATTAATTTTTACAGTGGGCTAGAAGAAGATAAATTATGTAACATCACAGTCACTAGTGAGATGATTGTGAAGCAGATAGACAGACTGAAGCAAAATAAGTCGCCGGGTCCTGATGAGGTTTTTTCAAGGGTTCTTAAGGAATGCAAAATGGAACTCTGTGAACCATTAACTAATATTTTTAATTTATCTCTTCAAACAGGTGTAGTGTCTGATATGTGGAAGATGGCTAATGTAATTCCTATTTTTAAAACAGGGGACAAGTCGTTACCGTCAAATTACCGCCCAATAAGCCTGACCTCAATTGTAGGCAAATTACTAGAGTCAATTATAGCTGAGATTATAAGAAGCCATCTCGATAAGCATAGCTTGATTAATGATACTCAGCATGGATTCACAAGAGGCCGGTCTTGTCTAACTAATTTATTAACTTTCTTCAGTAAAGCTTTTGAGGCTGTTGACCACAATAAAGAATTTGATATTATTTACTTAGATTTTAGTAAGGCTTTTGATAGAGTTCCGCACCATAGACTGTTAAAGAAAGTGGCAGCTCATGGCATTGGGGGAAAAGTGCTCTCGTGGATCGAGTCATGGCTCACTGACAGGAAGCAGAGTGTGTCCATAAATGGGGTTAAATCCGAGTGGGGATCTGTAACAAGTGGCGTTCCACAGGGATCAGTCTTGGGCCCGTTGTTGTTTATAATATATATCAATGATCTTGATGAGGGAATTACTAGTGATATGAGCAAATTCGCCGATGACACAAAGATAGGTAGGATAATTGATTCAAACGTAGATGTTATGGAACTTCAGGAGGATTTAAACAAACTCTATTCTTGGTCAGAAAAGTGGCAGATGCAGTTCAATGTAGATAAATGCAAGGTTCTGAAGCTTGGGAGTGCCCATAACCCTAGTACTTATAAGTTAAATGATGTAGAACTTAGCCATACAGATTGCGAAAAGGACTTGGGGGTTATGGTGAGCAGCAACCTTAAACCAAGACAGCAATGCCTAAGCGTACGTAATAAGGCAAATAGATTACTGGGATTTATATCAAGAAGTGTAAGCAACAGAAGTCCAGAGGTCATACTGCAGCTTTATACATCATTAGTAAGGCCTCACCTAGATTATGCAGCTCAATTCTGGTCTCCGTATTACAAAATGGACATAAATTCGTTAGAAAACATTCAGCGTAGGATGACTAAATTAATACATAGCATTAGAAATCTTCCTTATGAAGAAAGATTGAAGACTCTTAAGTTACATTCACTTGTTAGACGAAGAATGAGGGGAGACCTGATCGAAGTGTATAAGTGGAAGATGGGTATTAATAAAGGGGATATTAATAAGGTCTTGAGGATGTCTCTCCAAGAGAGAACCCACAGTAATGGATTTAAATTAGATAAGTTTAGATTTAGAAAGGACATAGGAAAGTATTGGTTTGGAAATAGGGTAGTTGAGTGGAACAGTCTACCTAGTTGGGTTATTGAGGCTGGAACTTTGGGTAGTTTCAAATCTAGGTTGGATAAGTACATGAGTGGGAGGGGTTGGATTTGAGTGGGACTTTCACATCAGAGCTTATTTCTTGGGTGGCATTGAAAATTGGGTTGGGCAAATGTTTTGTTAGTGGGATGAATTGTAAAGGACCTGCCTAGTATGGGCCAGCAGGCCTCTTGCAGTGTTCCTCCTTTCTTATGTTCTTATGAAACGAAATACAGTGGAACCTCAAATTTCAAACGTGTCACTTATTGAACATTTCAAAAAATAAAACCCTTTTTTCTAACCATCTTTGTCCCTATTATCGAACACGCCCCTATTTTCGGACCACCGAGTACCGGACCTGTCCGCCAGTTCGCTCTGTCCGCGTCCTTGCGCAGGCGCCGTGAGCCAGTCTGGCTTTGTTGATGCTTGAGTGAACACTAACCTGCTCTCTCATTCAAACATTTTACGATTATTTCATTGTGTTTAGTGCTTGTGGGACTGTGAAATAAGCTACCATGGGCCCAAAGAAACTTGCTAGTGGTACCCCTGTGGTAAAGAAAGTGAGAAACACCATAGGTGTGAAGAAGGAAATAATACAGAAGTATGAGAGTGGTGTGAGACTTGCTGAGCTTGCCAGGCTGTATGGGAAAAACAAGTCGCCCATCAGTTCTGTCCTGTCAAAGAAGAACAAATCAAGGAAGCTGATGTTGCGAAAGGTGTTAATATGCTAACCAAAAAAAGGCCATAAATAGTTGAAGAGGTTGAGAAGTTGTTGCTGTTGTGGATCAAGGATAAAGAGATGGCAGGTGATAGTGTTTCAGAGACGATTATTTGCGAAAAGGCAAATAAATTGCCTGCCGATCTGGAACCAGTGCTGATAGTGTTAAGGCCAGCAGAGACTGGTTTGACAGATGTAAGAAGATTAGTGGCATACACAATGTTGTAAGACATGGTGAGGCAGCCAGTTCAGACAAACGGGCAGCTGAGAAGTTTGTACAGGAGTTTAAGGGGTACATTGACACTGAAAAATTCAAACCCCAAGAAGTGTTCAGTTGTGACGAAACAGGCTTGTTTTGGAAGAAAATGCCAAAGAGGACCTACATCACACAGGAGGAAAAGGCACTACCATGACACAAGCCTATGAAAAACAGGTTTACTCTTTTGTTCTGTGCTAATGCTAGTGGTGATTTTAAAGTGAAGCCCTTACTTGTGTATCATTCAGAAAATCCCAGACTGCTTAAGAAAAACAATGTCTTTAAGAACAAGTTATGTGTCTTGTGGAAAGCTAATCATAAGGCATGGGTCACAAGACAGATTTTCAAAGAGTGGGTCCATGAAGTGTTTGGCCCCAGTGTGAAAAATACTAAGTGCCTCCTGTTAATGGACAATGCTCCTGCTCATCCTCCAAACTTATTAGACCTCTTGTCTAGGGACTTCAGTTTTATAAAAGTGAAGTTCTTGCCTCCT